GGAGGTGAAACAGTTTCATTTGTTAGCATTACATGACTACAGATTAAAGTGACATCAACTCGTATGAACACGTGCTATACTCTTTTTAGATTATTAACACACATTTATACAATGATAAAAGAGAACTATGGGGCAAGAGAAAGAGGAGAAACAGGTTATCAAGGGAAAGCCACACTCCCATGCCTCCTATCATTTCGATAACCAAATACACTGGAGTCACCATTGGATACTTTTCTTACTGATTTGCTACATTCTTTTCATAGCCCAAACATCACATGACCCTTTAGAATAATGTTTCTTATTCATTGTGGTGATAAGTATTATTTTCAATACCCTTAATATTAATATTTCATAACAATCTAAAACATTTTAAAAGCTTTGTTTAAAAAGTGCCAGTGTTTGTTAATTTCTAAAATGTTTGTAAGAATCTATCTACACAGTGAAAAGAAACACAAATGACTGTAAGAAGTGATTGGATGTGGAATCAGTTCCAAATGGAAGAAAAGGCAGATGTTAGTCGAATTGCTTAATTCCCTTCATAGATTTCAAACACGTTCGCTTCTAAAGTAAGAAATGTATTACTTAGGTAAGGAAAGTGGAGAAAGGACATAATTTTTCTATGGAAATAAATATAACGTTTTTAAACATTCTAGGATATCTTAAAGTAATTTCCAAAATTCAAAAGTTACTTGGTCCTCCATGTTATTTATGCCAGTAGGTTGATACAATGTTATATAGGCTCACGTGTTATCATGTGGAAAAGGATTATTATTACTAAGAAATATAAGAATAATTAAATGAATCAACTTGCGATTTATAATACTTAGTTTTCTCCTGTTATCTACAGAAGGAACTTAGAATTTATTTTTATTTAGTATGTCTCTCCTAGGAATGTTCATTATATATTAGCTCAATTTGATATGTGAGAAGCATAAAAAGTCTTATCACTTGTTTCTTGTTTCTTTTTAAAAATTCTACTTCTGCTGCAAGTTTTTACCTCTCTCAATACTCTCTATGTGTGAGTATGTGTGTGCCTCTGTGTCGGATTACTAGACCCACACTAGTCATTTCTGTACAAAAACTCAGAGCCTGGTGGGTTTGCACGGTCCAGGTTATTGACCTCCAGGGATCTTTCTATGTCTCTCACTAAATTCTCCTTCCATTACTGATATCAGTGGCTTCTTAACATTGCCACTTTCAGCAACATACCATTACAAAAACTCAGAGCACTCACGCCAGCTTATTGGTTATGCATGAAGACATTAACCTAGGCCTAAGGAAATTATAGCTCTCTGTCAGTCGACATTTTCTCAGGTAATAAATGCAAGCGTTAACTTTCTTTGTAGAACATTATCAAAAAATTTCAAACTTCTTTCAAACGTGTTGTTATAATAATACATAGATTATAGTTTAATTACATATACATTGATACATGATTAAAAATACAAAACATTCTTTTCATTCTTCAGTGCCTTTTTAGCATAGTTTTTCTTTTCCAGAGGAAAAATGTGTTTAAAAAGTCCTGAATATTCAGTATTCAAGAAAAGGGAAACACCTATTACATGATTTCCAGTGTGTTAAGATTGGGGAAAAGGGCATAGCTGATATTAATACAAATGCTTCCCATTAAAGAAGATGGGCTGGATAACTGAACTACTCAGTATAGACCTAAAATGTAATGTCCCAATATGACAGAGGCTTATTTCGTGTCAACCCAGGACCACAGCAGAAAGTAGGGGAGAGGGAACTGCCCCATGCACAAGGGATAGTCTGTCTCCCAAGGTCCTCTGGTCGCAACGTCACTGTCCCAGGACACTAGACGAGAGAGAGAGCAGACACAAGCATCTGAGAGGTTTATGGGCAGGTCTGGAAGTGGCATACATCACTTCTGCTCACATCCTATCAGCTAGAATTCATCCACGTGCCTTTATAATTCCACCCTGCAGTGGAGAATGGGAAATGTGACCTAGTTGAGTGTTCTGGTAGGAGGAGAAAATTGATTTCATGGTCATCCTACAGTTTCTACCCATGGATCCTCAATTTTGCTCAAAAATTTGCACGAATTCAAGCTATTATGCTACTAATACTATGATGCTAATTGCTCTGATAAACTTTGTATCCACTCATTTGTTTAAATGGAAGGGTATTTTTAATTGTATGAAGTTGCATAAATTGTAGAGAAGATTGGGACTAATAATTTGAGTATAGTCAGTCTCTCAGAAACATGGGAGAGCTTGAAAGCCTGCTAGAGGTTTCCATACAACCTTTCTTTAAAATGTACATGGAGACATACGAGCGAACTTCACCTTGCCCGTACTGAGGGTCACAGATACCAGGTGCCCACCCTTGGTAAAGAGCCCCCAGCAGAGAACATGAAGAATAAATGGTTTATTTATTTAACTGCGATATTGCAAATAAAGTTTTGCTTCTAACAAACTTATACTGCTAAAGTATCTTCTATGTTAATACTCACCAAACGCAGGGAGGCGAGATCATCGCCCTGCCCACCTGACCAAAGGCCAGCAGGGCAATGAGGAGAATCGTGACTTCAGATGCAGCATTTGCCTTTTTCTCTATTGAAACACAAAATCAAGCCCTGTGCTTGATACCATGTTGTGTTTTTGCCTGAAAGTTTATTCCAAGAGGAAGAGTGTGGCTGATGAGTACTGGTTATGGTCTAGAATAGATAAATTACCAATAAATGTCCATTGTGGCTGTTTCCTCCCCCTTAGTTCCTAAGTGCTATTACACAAGACACCTTTTCCCTTAACGATTGCTACAGCTGATCCAGAGTGCTCATAGATTAAATTTTGTTCCCTTTAGTCACATGGCCCAGATTCCCTACATGAAGACAGTCTAACCGACCTGAGTCATCACTCTCCCATTTTAAACCATGCTGCCCGTAACTTGACATTGACCTCGTTGTTTCTCTGAATTCTTCCTGTTTCCATGTTTTAGATGTGTCTTTCCCCGTGTTTCACATATGTCTTCATTTTGTCCATAAATCTACTTTCCTTATAGTCTGTGAAGTCTCTAGTTTGTAGTCAAATCCTAGCTAAGTTCCTACTGATTTTCTACCATTTTGCATTATTGATGATTTTTCTCAAAGATGACTGAAGAAAACTACTCAGAATTTAGCAATAAAGGGTCACCATTATTGGTGTAACTGCCACAGGTCATGTTATTTACATTCAGATTCATCTTTATGTTGAACATTCTACTAGACGTCACATCAGTCCCCGTGACTTTAATGTTGTGTAAATATTGCATTATTATAGAATTAAGGATATCTTACCTATATTTAAGTTTTACAATTATCATTTTTTAGGTTAATAATTTTTTTATTTTTTATTTTTTTTTAGTGTTGGGGATTCACTGGGGCTACAAAGAACCAGATTACATTGATTGCATTTGTTAGATAAAGTCCCTTTTATAATTGTCTCCTGCCCCCCAAATATTATCATCTGTATGAAATTTATACCAAAATTTAAAAAAAAACAAAGATTCTACAAATAATTGTATACTTGGAGAAAATATTAAACTACAGAACAAATATATTTCCAATTATTTTTTAGGATTCAGCATTCCTTTGACAGGGATTTGTCAGTAAGACAAAAAATAGCCACCAGAATGAAATTCTCATGTTATAACAACTCCTTGCTAAGTATTAGAAAGCACCTTCCTTTCAAATCCAATCTTTGAGTATTGTCACTAAAAATAATAGGATAATCCCTTATAAAACACTCTCATCTGTTATACACCTATGGCATGAATCATATGAACATGACTTAGGATATGAATTATAAAATTTGCCAGAATGGAAACCGTGGTGGAAAAGCCAACCCCACTCATCACCCCCCCACACACATACACACACCCCTGAGGCTTACTTTTTTGGCCTAAGCCAAGAATCATTTAGAAAAATATATCCACTTTTTTTTTAATGCCCAATTATAAGTGAGAAATTTGCGCCCAATTATAAGTGTGATATTTGTTTTTCTGTGATTGGCTTATTTCACTTAATATAATAACTTCCAGTTTGTTTTAGTATTTGATAGTCCATTAGGGAAATTACAGTTAATAATAATGTATTCTGTACATCAAAATAGCTAGAAGTTTTATGATGTTCTCTACATAAAAGAGAAATGTTTGAGGTAATCAATATCCCCATTACCTTGATTAATCATTACACACTGTATAGGTATCAAAATAATCACATGTACCCCCAAATATGTACATATAATTATTTTATATATATATCAGTAAAAATCTTTAAAATACACAAAAAAAGAAAAATATATCCAAAGTTAGTCAACCAAGATTGCTACCCATATATTGTTTGCTCTTTGTTTTACATAAGTTTTATTTCCTTGTATATTAGGTCAGTCTAAAAGCTACTAAAGTTTCCTGCCCATACTTGAATGCTAATATGATGTTCATTGATTTTAGTATCTTACACTCAAATAGTTTTTAAATCAGATCTTAGAATGTACATGACAAAGATTTTTGAGAGAACATAGAGCAATTTACTTGGTCAAGATAGTAGCAAGATATACACCGGGAAATATCAGAAGATAAGAAGATTAAGTTGGTGACAGATTGTAGAGACCTACGATGACCTAAAAGTCACCAAAGTTTATTTACAATAAGGATGTGATGTGAGATTTGAGCTCCATATCAGTCTGGCCACAAAACTGTATTATATGTGTATATATATATATATATATGTATGTGTGTGTGTGTGTGTGTTTGTGTAATTGAAACCTCTGGTTTTCTGGGCTTTTGGTGAATTCCATTTTCAAGTTTAATTAGCAAGTCTTCCATACATCTCCATGTCAAATACATACGCTTCTGTGGTGTTTTACTAATAATTTTCCACCCTCAATTGAATAACAGAATCCTGCTAACATGTAATTCATTTTCTATCATTCTCAAAGTATGTCCATTTACTTTGGTTTATGATTAATTTTGACTGACAGCTGGTTTGTTTTCTATTCTAGGTTGTGGAGACTAATTTGGTTGCTTTTGACTGTCACTGGATCATTATAAATGAGGTAAAGCCAACTGCACTGTGTCGCCACCTCCATGTTCTGTTTTCATATATATCATCGCAGCTTTGTCTACAGCCTCAAATTTTTAACAGGAAAGAGAAAAGAAAGTAAACTTTAGCTCCCTGAGTGAATGCTGTTCAATAAAAATAGAATGAAACTTTTGAACAAATTATAAAGGGCTTTATGTGAATAAGATAAATGGAGAAAGTCTTCCCCACTGAGTATCTTTTAGCTTTTTCTGTTTGACACATACTGCCTTCTTAAGGACATCATCTTTATCATAAGTAGTGTTCTTTTTTGGTAAGCAAAGTGAATTCCTCCCAGGGGAGTGCTTGTGTTCCATTTATATTTCAATGTCTCCAAAACTTTCATATCCACCCCCCTTCCATGAGGATTGAATAGTTCAGCATATGAGTATGAATAAACAGAGAACAGATTTTTCCCTTTTCATAAAGAAGTACAACTGTTTTAGAATCCATAGACTTGTCAAATTCTTGATTTCTGCAAAGATAATCTACAAGATTAAAAATAGGTTGCAGCCAGAGACCTGTGAAGTCGATGGCTCTATTTGCACCTGCTGGTTGGAAATGGAAAGGACCATGAGCATCTAGAGTTCTCCTTGACAAGACACAGTATTCACTTATTCATGAATAAAGTCATTGCATTGTTTATCTATGAGGCTTGACAATTAAGTTCGTGAACTCATCCTAGAAAGAAGTGCTACAAACCACGTTGCTGAGTATCACTGCACTCACCAGATGGCCAAGGGGAGCACTTCAAAAGTGACCATAGTGATACCAAATACAAATGATAGAATAATAAGATTTGTTTTATGGGCAAAATAGCATTTGGGGTAGGAATTCTGCTTTTGCAATCAGCAAGATAGGTTCAATCTGAGTGTGAAATTGGTCAGCTCTGTTACTATGGCTATAATCCTCCTCTGCCTCAGTTTGTTAGTTTGTATAATAAGTATAGTAACATTTACTTTACAAGTTCATAATCAAAGTTACATGACTTATTACGCAACACTCTTAACACAGCCTGATGGATGATGTTCAGTCAGTGGTGCTGAAAAAATGCTATCACATTGAAGTTCACAGATCACTTTCTCATACATTATTTTGTGGAATACTGTACATTATTCTATGAAGTACTGCAGAAATGAGATACACGGGGTAAATGATTTGCTTCACCTTACACAGATAAGTAAAACTAATTTTCAGTTTCAAGTTGCTTCTCCTATACCACACCCCACTGATGAAATGATTCTTTTTAGCTCAGTGTAAAAAACCTGAAAACATCCTACAAATCTGTTTTTGGTCTACTAAACATTGGGTTTATATGATATGTGACTATTTCTCATGTCAAATGAAGGTATGTTTCTCTGAGATTCCCATTGGCATATGTATGTGTGAGATCAGATTTTCAATAAATTTCTGATACCTTCTAATTTTTCTAATACTTCTTAATTTTTCCATCTAGAATGATGAGACATCAGGATAGAGGGAAGGACAAAAGGAGGGGAACATAGCAAGCCTTCCTGATAACTTTTCAAATCAGATATTTTCATTTTGACTTTTCTATAAGGAAACTAAGCTTCAGAGATATCAAACAATTCAGCAAATATTATACAACTAGTAGGTGGTGGTAAGGGTTTAAAATTTAGTCCTTTTGAGTGTAATGGTTTGGTTGGTTTTGCTTTTATTTTTCGATAATTACCCTGAGGGTTGATATCTTTGAAATCTCTTCTACCTTAGCTGTGATTTTATGGTAGCCATTCATCCCACTAGCTTTTGTTGTTGGTTTAACTTTTTCCAATCCAATTCTTCTGCCGCTGACATTCTGCCCAGCTCTTACTTGTTAGCGAGTGGGAAAGAGGTTGGTGGATTATTTGTAATTATCCTACAGTTTTAAAAGAGAAAAACTAAGAGTTTCTATGAACTCACGTGATGATTTTATTATCTATTTTAGGTTACATAGAGTAATTCAATTGTTTTTGTCTGACATAGGATCAGAACGGGTTTTAATTATTTTCTAGATCACTTTTTCTATAATAAAGATTTCTGCTAATCTCTTGTTTTTATCTCATATCCCAGTTATGACAGAGAAGATACCACACAGATTTCTCAATGGAAAACAATCAGGAGTCATTTTAGTCATTCATGTCAACAGAGCTGATAGGAAAAGAAAGTGATTTCTTGCCTCTTTAGTCACATGGATTAACCAAAACATATTAATATTTATAATCTTTAAATAGAAATGGTTTTGCATAGGATTTCACAAGGAACCTGTGAATGATTTTTTTTTTTTTTCTAATTCACCTTCTGCAACCTGAATCTTAAAAGTATCAATCCAAGTAGAGCTACGCAGGACACCACAGTCGTTGACTCACTGTTGAGTAGCCAATATGTTCTTTGGAAGAAACTGCTCCTGCGTATTACGTGAGCATAGCCTGAATAGATGAGTATTATTTCACTGGTGACAAATAGCATGGGGAGAATAATAACAACGTGTACTTTATTGTATCTTTCGTAAGCATTAGGACTCATTTTGTTAGACCTGAGTGTGAAATTTTTTATTTTTTAAATTATTAAGTGGGAAAATATTCTCTTTCAATGGACTCTCCATCACTTGGGCTACTATTTTGCAAGATAAAACATCTATGTAAACAAAGCAATCTAACTGGTAAATAACTCAGTAAATGTTAAAAGGATAGAAAATGATACAGAAGAACTCGGTACTATCTGATCCTTCCTACTGAGGTTTTCTATCAGCTACTGTCCCCACGTCATCTTTACCGTCCCTGAAACCCTGATTTCTCTAGGCCTTGAGCAAAGGTGTAATTTCTCTTGGGCAGAACAATACTGCTGAGACCCTAAAAATTATAGTGTTTATAACCCATACCATTTACATTGGTTATTGCTTTTATCTGACTTAGGTTAAAACTCAGAGAATAAGAATGTTTTCTGTATTTTAAACCTTTAAAAAAAATCAGCCAATATATCTGAAGTCACCACTCCTTCACCTGATTCCGTTCAATCATCCTGTTCTCTCTGAAATACACCTCAGGAAAACAGATTCTCATTCTTTTCTTACGCACTTTTCATGTATCTGGTTGTCTATACAAATTTGTAATGGATAAGACATAATTTATTTTAGTTTCTATAAAAGAGGCAGCATGGATTCCTCAAATTTGCTAGGGAGGCAACAAACTCAGAATGCAACAACAGCAAATCCAACAACATGTAAATGCCCGTTTCGACTGAAAATGGAGAACACGAATCTGTCTTGTTGGGTTTGTACAGCTATTGTTTTGTTGCTAATTTTAAAATGGGTTGCAAACATTTAATCTTATTACACCAGTAGTTTTTTAGAGAGGTACTATAAATCAAAGTTAGCATAGTGCATCATGATAGAAATTGATACAGATACTTAAAAACAATGTTTTTTTTTAATTTATTAAGTGTACTATAATAACGAGAGGCTGTACTAGCTGATATAGTGCAATCAATCATATGTTAGGACTTGTTAATAGTATTTATCGTCTTCTTACAATCAGTGGATCCAGCTCAGAATAGCCTTTCCATATAAGTGTTGTCATCTCCTCAGGGCCCTGAAGCAGATGGCCTTCCACTTAATATTTAAGTTTTCTAAAAGTTACTAGGAAGAAGTACACTGTTTAGAACTGCAAGAAGCATAATGCTTTATGCCCTTCCATTCTCTGACAACAAAGAATCTGACTTTTGGTGTCCTAAGGAGAATTTTTACTAACTTCTTATTTAAATACTCTAAGCCATTATTCTTTTAATTGTTACTGAGTATTGCACTTAACCAGGAAGTTGTCGGTTTGGGCTTTTTTGTGTTGTTTTGAGATTAATAAAGCCTATACGTGTGATAGATATTTTTCAGTGTTTCCTCATTTAGTGTTAACTGAACTGCTCACCACTAACCTGTAAAGCAGAAAGTGATCATTCAGGTCCTCTTCCTGTTGGTAGACACCTTACAGTTGATTTTGTTCCATTTGTTGCCACAATTGTCACATAATTAATGTTAAATTTTATGAGTGCATCAAAGGGTCATCTTTGCTAAAGCCTGAACAATAAAAACAAATGAGAAAAAACCATAACCCTTGCATCTATACCACATAGTCACTGATTCATCTCATGACTAAAATCTGCTTTAATCAAAATTCTTTAATACTTTTAAAGCCTTCCTGTGTGTAAAATCAAAATTTCAGCCATCAATTTTGAAAAGTTGGGTTGATAAAACCTTGCCACTCATTTATTCCTTGTATTTTTTATTTATAAACACTTATTGCGGATGAGCCAGGAACTTTATAAAAGAATGGGAATAAAGGGCAAAATGATGGAAAAAGGGGGAAATGAGAAACTAATTCTTTGAAATGATTATTTTTTAGTCCAAACTGGCATCCGACCTAATAGATTTTAAATCTTTCCTCCCCCCAGATTTTATTAATTTAAGCCGAAAGCTGATACACTACACAATTTTCTTACGAGATTTGTTCTAGAAGGCGGCCGCTTCTGGATGTGATGTTCTACCCAGCAGATACTATAGCTGTTCCTTTTCTACCTTGGTCCTTACGCAGTTCAGGACTAAGCTTGCATTAAATTATCAAAGCAGAGTGAATAAGAATATTTTGGTGAATATTTTGACTTGATTTTTACTAATTTTTAATTATCCAGGTAAATTGGATACTTATCTGTTTTGGGAAAAACGGATTTTATGCTTTTCTTCTAAAAAGTAAAAAGAAAAGTGAGACATCCAAACATATATTTATTTGTTTTTTATTACCTATTCTACTTTTATAAATATACGCAATCAAATAAAGAATATTAGAAGGACACACAGGGAAAATAATTTTATAATTCAGGTTCTTTATTTTCCTTAAAGCTCCAGAATTCTGTATCTCCTTACAGAGATTAGCATGTTTGATAGTACTAGGAGAATGAGCACTTGGTAAACTAGTTCTTCATGGATTAATTTAAAAAATCTGACAGTCTAGACATTATTTTAAAAATTCAGATCATTAGAAAATATAGATCCTTATAGATCTCTTAATAGTTTCACATTTTAATATAGAAGTTTACTGATTGTTTCAGTTAAAAGTCTCTTTACAGATTAGGTGATCACCTTAGTGTTTATGTAACATTGCATCTGCTGCCCTTGAAGTATACCTTTTGAAATGCAAGCATTATAGTTCTGCAAATACCAAATAGCTGCACATCGAAGTTTTCATACCACTATTAAACTTCTTGAGATCAAGTGTCAAAACGAAAATTATGAGTGAATTTTTAGACAGTTTGATTCAGAATGGAAGATTCTTTTCTCCCATGAAATAACTTTTTTCCCCTTCCCAATATAATGATAGGCAAATTATACTCAATTCACATTGATAGTTCTTCAGGTATACTTTAAGCTGCTGAGATGCCTGAGAACATCAACCTTGGAAACTCTGATAGGTACCCAGGCTTTCTATGGGTTTGAAAATTATCCCTTCAAAGGCCTGTCTGAAAGATGACTTTATTATTCCTTATAATCTTTAGAAAATTATATGCTGAAATAAGATATTCTTAAACTTTTAATTTCTGTGATTCATAAATATATACTCTAAATAATTCCTATAAGGAAATATACATATCTTACACTGTTCTTCAGAAAGCATATTTTCAATAACGTTCATACATTCATCCTATGACTAGAATACTTTGAATAAAGATCTTGGAATCTCCCTGGTTCTTTATTTATGAAATGAAAATAGACTGTGACTGATTCAAAATGTCTTTTAGTGGAAAGTGAGGTAACAGCTATAGTAGTTAGTATTTTGCTTACTATATAGCAGGCACTTATTACATGCAAATTTGTGTGCCATGATGCTGATTTGTAGAGATGGTGATGTGAATAAATTTTAGTATTGATGAAGAAAAAGTAACCACATATATAATACATTTACTTAATATTATGAGAAAAGAGGTATAATTTCACCACTGCATTTTAAATGAAAGTTTGTCTGCACAGTACAGAATTTTTTTTAAATGGAAAGACATTGATTAGCAATTGTAATATTAATTCACGTTAAAAGGTGTCTGATTAAAGTTAGAGGTGAAAATGGAGTTGACAGGACACTGTTTAATTCTTCTTTGTGAGTGAATGACAGAGAATTAAAAAGCAACCTTTCTTTGCCAGACAGAATTTCTGGTGACCAGTGAAATGACACAGACTAAAGGAAAAAGACTGCATTTTAAATGGAGCAAAATCATTTTTTATGGTACATTAAGAATTGATTAATCACCTAGAAATCCAGGATATTACCCCGGATCCAGCAGCTAGCAGATGTTATTTTATTTTCAGAAACTCTATTTTTTGCAGATCAAAAATGAAGGATAATATTTTAAAATCTAATACATGCTACAAAGAAGAATACTCAGTTCAGTCAGACAAAAAAGAACATTTACACATTGTGAATTACTTTTGTTCTTTCACTTTTCTAGAATAATTCCTCTGATCAAAAGTAAGAAATGCTTACTGCAGCCCACAATGTATCTTGTGTCAAATCTTTTGTTTCTGCTGTTTTAAGCATATATTCAAACCAGTACTATGTTCATAGCACAGCCTCATTGAAAGGTCACAAATGGATACTCTTACGCACAAACTGCTTTAGTAAAGATTATCATAAAACTAAAATTATTTTGAATGCTTTTACTTTCATTCCATTCAGACAGATGTATGTTACTAAAATATTATTTTATTATTATTTCTACATCCATGATTAAATATATACCTGGAGTTGGGGAGAGAAGAAAGTCGAAATTATACTTCCGTGAGTTTGGCAAATACTGTAATGGGCAAAACTAAACTCATTTAGATAAAGAACACTGGGTTTCCTCCTTCACTCATCCTGATTCTGACTGTATTAAACAACTAATTTTTCAGGAGGATCCTCTGGCTAAGTGGGTAGGGCTCTGGCTCCAGATACCAAAGGTGGCCGGTTCAAACCCAGCCCCAGCAACAACAAAAAATAGCCAGGTGTTGTGGTGGGCACCTGTAGTCCCAGGTAGTCAGGAGGCTGAGGCAAGAGAATCGCATAAGCCCAGGAGTTGGAGGTTGCTGTGAGCTGTGACGCCATGACACCCTACCAAATAAACAAACAAAAAAAACCAAAAAAACTAATTTTACATTTTTATGTAGACCACAATTGCCAAGAACTCAATTAACTTCTTTATCTAAAAGTTAGTGAGTGCTTTATTTAATCTGTTTTTTACCAAGAGAAACATATGACTTAACTCTGATAGTTGTAAGAAATTATTATAAAAGTCTTAAAAAGTAACATCTCCTATTGCTCTATTTATTTCATCACTTAAAAGCCTAATTTTTCATTGCTAAGAAAAATATATACTCCTCTCAAATTGCATCTGTTTTATAGATGCTCAAACATACTTGAAATCTATTAATGAATAATAAAGCGTCAGAGCCACTTACTTTGTGACTTTTTAAACACTTTGATCACATCTCTTTTTTCTAAAGTGTTCAATATAATACCTTATAAACTTTTTAATAAACCACATTTAAGTCAATTGCTCTGTTTAACATTGTTTTGGCACGAACGTACATCACTTAAAGCACAGGCTGGAACTACAAATGAGTTGAGCATTTTAAAGAAAATGTGCTGCTTTTACTCAGAAATGAGCTAAGCATTAAGCCAATGTATTACAGTAACAGAATCCCTAACATTTCCAGATCACAGCTCATAAATGGTTTGTGTTTCTCTTACTGTATTAAAGTATTTCTAATTCTTCCCATTCTTATCTTATCTTATAGGAAATAAACGATGTGGATGTACAGGAACTTGTAAGAAGGTCAATTGGAAGGTTAACGATTATTCGGCAGACATTTCCAGTCCCCCAAAATATAAGTCAGCGATGTTTCCGTGGCAACCATCGAATATCTTCAACGCTGTGCGATCCAAAGGATCCATTTGCTCAGAATATGGAGGTAGAATCCAAATGCTGGTATATTGCTCCCCGGGGGTTTGTTGGAAGATTGCAATGAGAGCTGCTCCAACCGCACTGGATTCAGAATTATGTGCATTGTCATTTCTGAACAATGTGTTCTGATGGGAAGAAAGTGCTAAGAATTTGTGTCTTTATCCCTTTTTATTTCATTATAAACAATATCTACTTGTTTAATAAGTAAGGAGTATTTTCTCCTAAACAAGTAGATCCATAGCATTTTCCATGGGAGTAATCGATCCTCCTAATTCCAAACTCCAAAGCTAACGAATTTGTTTGACTTTTCTAACATAAAAGATGCTTATTTTTTTTTAAATTAGTCTCCAGTTTGAATCACTTCAACAACAAAAACTACTTAGAAATGTAAAAGTGTTACACAGTCACAGTCAAAGTGAGGGAGGTAGCTGGAACTTCACCATCCATAGTCCAACAAAGAATTTGAAAGTAAATGAATTAAATCTCTGACCAGCAAAACAGAGAACACCAAATCCCGCAGCTTACTCCTAAAGATGCCATTTAAATACTCACTTGAAGCCGATTTCTTTTTTTCTAAGGAAAATCCTATCCGATGTTTTTTTCTTTGCACTGGAGATCTCTAAGTCAATTTGAAGGGGGTGTTAAGAAAGGCAGGCACGCTGACAGCAGCAGGGAGCCATAGCAGCACTATGATGGCAAGAGACAGAGAAAGAATCAGACACAGCAGCTCAACTCAGATATCCTATCCTTGTAGGGCTTTTCCTGTAAAAACTAATCTGTGGTATAAAACAGTTTCTAAACACGTCTTGTGCATAGTATTTAATATTTCAACAATAACTCTGAGATGTAAGTAAAGCTAAAGTCATGGCCAGTTTTAGAAGTCAGGAAACTGTGATATATTTTGGAAACCTATCTTTAAAGCATTTGCTGCAGAAAACATTTTAGTACTTAGAGATGTTTAGTTTTAACAGTTTAGAAATATAACCTTAGGAAAACCAGTTCATCTCCACTAGTACTAGATAAATAAGATGATTTTGCAATTTTTGAAAAATAGCTCACATCCTCTCTCTCTTTAGTCACCTTTGAATATTTTTAGATGAATTACCATTCATCCAACCTTTTTTTTTTATTTTTTTTGTTTGTTTCAGGCTATTAGAGGGTACCCATGTTTCATGTTTTGTTTACGTACTCTGTTGTGATACAGATTAAGTGAACGTTATACTATCGTTTCAATCATTGCAATGAGCAGCCTGACTCCAGCATCCTTGCCCTGGAACTTTCTGTCCTCTGCTGGATTGTGCGCTCCTTTACAAATAGGTCCCTTCCAGGATCTGACATTGTAAAATTTCATAATATACTCATTTATCATTTTCTCCGTCATCTCCACCACAGTGCTCTGAACCTTTTTGAATATTGGTAGATTTGAGCGTAAAGAGAAGGCCCCAGTTGACGTAAGCCACTCTGATGCTTTGACAAACCCTTTTAAATTTTAGTAACACCTTATCATGGCTCATCTTTACAAATTAACAGGTGGTCATGAGTGTAGTTGGTGTAAAAATGATCAAATTCTAAATGGAGTAAACAGGAAGTAATTTCCATTGAGAAAATAATGAACCATGAATGATTGACTGTGTCATTTATGGAAAGCAGACAGCACTGCACAGCACAGTCCCCGAGGAACCTTTCTATTCCAAGAGGGGAGGCCCTTGCTATCAGGAAACAGATATTTTATTTATCTCTATAATTCCAAGTTTATCTGATGGATTAAGGTTGTGCCTTCTCCTTAACCAATACCTCCCTTTCTATTCTCCCCAAACCCAATGAAAGAAAACAGAACAACCGCTATTTCTTTGAGGATTTGTTTACTTCCTTCAAATCTGTGATGGAATTTGACTATTTAATAAGCAAAGGAAAATTGACAGAAACTTCTATATGTGATGATTTATAGAATTAAGAATCTGAATACAGGGTCCTTGAATTGAAAATGATCCACCCACAGTGGAACCGTTGACGTACAGCCTCATCTTGGTGAAATGTCTTTTTCACCAAAATTAGAGAGAGCTACTTAGATTAAATTCTGGTCAACAGGATACACTGACTAATAATTTAGGAATAGGAGATGCCTAAGAGAAGTCATTTTCTCAACATAAAGTCTGTAAAACAATACAACACTTGTGGAATTCAGAAGGGTGCAATTAAAACTGGTTTTACAAAACAAGTATACAAATGTGACTCAAGTCAACTTCCAAAAATAGAAACCCAAGTATAAGTCAATATAGGGAAAGGCAAAGGGGATACAATGACTCTGTGTAGAAATCTGGGCTGTTACCTCGCTTTAATGTTCATAGAAAGGAAAGGAAAATTTAGAAAACGCAGAATGTTTCACACATCTTTAAAGGGTGCCAGGAAGATTAAAAACTCAGGATTATCTGAAGTTGTAAAATAAATATTAAAAAACACATTTTCACTAGAAAATAGAGTTTTTAGCAATATATGAAACAAGAAAGAAGTGACCCATTTATTGCTTGATAACACAAAGGTTAGCTTGGCTGCTAAGAGATAGAAAACAGAAACATTAAGTCCTTTTGGTGCTATTTTCACCATCTAGGGGTAATAGTCTTTAATTGGAAGGGTTAGAATAAAAGTCATTAAAAGAAAGTAAACCACGGGTTGGAAGGAGCAGGGGTTTGGAGA